GCAATCTTTTCCCTTCAACAGTTCTTTTCCCTTCCAAAGCCTCCCACTCAAAAAAGCCTCCCTTCACCCAAAAAGCAAAAAGCCCAAAAGTCAAAAGCAAAAGCCTCAAGCAAAAGCCCAGAGTAAAAAGCCTAGTCCTCCTTCAGCGAGTCTTTTATACCCAGTGGTAAACAGGGTGGAGCAGCTGTTCTCAGGGAGGAGTGTGACATTGTAACAAGAGGAACCTACTATTCCTGCTTCTCTGAACATAAACAACTTAGGAGAAGCAGCTGTGCTGCATTTTCTTTCTCAGGCCTACAGATCCTAGGAAAAGCTGTTGAGCTGCATCTCACCCTGCCTACGTCTTGCTCTAACAGGCTTCTCATAATCTCCTCTCCACACTGGTCATCCTGTAGAGCTGTAGATGACACCCTTCAGGTTATGCATTGTAAAGGAATGAGTATGTTGGCTTTCACTACAACTGTTACTTCTTACTTAAGGAAATAGAACCACGTGAGTTTACAAATTAAAAAAAACAGACCAGACACAGTGGCTCGGGCTTGTAATCTTAGCTCCTTGGAAGTCAGAGATCAGGAGAATCATAGTTCAAGGCCATCCTGGATAAAAAGTTAGCAAGACCCCATCTCAGTCAATAAGCCAGGTGTGGTGGTAGGAGTCTGTGATCTCAGCAGTCAAGCTACTCAGGAGGCTCTAGAAGGATTGCAGTCTACATGTGGCTGGCCCTGGGCAAAAATGCAAAACTCAACCTTAAAAAATAACTAAAGCAGAAAAGGTGTTTGAGCACCTGCCTACTAATTGTGAGGCTCTGAGTTCAAACCCCAATAAATCAACTGAGAGAGAGCGAAATTGAGGCAGGGAAGGAGGGAGAAAGAAAGTAGAAATTAGACAGGCTTAATGCACATGAAAATTAGGTCTTAAAGTCTCCAAGCAGATGCAGTGTAGTGCAGACAAATAATGGGTATGGGAAGACCTGGGTTGGCTCATGTCCGTATTATTTCACAACTTGCCCCCCACTCCTTTGTTAATGTATTTATATTTTTAATTACAAAGTTTACAAAAATAAATCCCTTACTTTGCAAAAAAATTACTTGACTCTGGTCCTTTGTGTAAATTTTTCATATGTAATTAGCATATGTAACTTAGTTATTTTCCTCCCATTATAACTTTTTATAACACAGTGAATACAGTTTTCTTGGGTAAGCTTGTATTTTATAGCTACAAAGCTACTTTTCTTGTGTAAATCCGCTCCCTTTCAGAGGGATAATGTCATGTAGATCTCCTTACTGTATTGCTTGAGATTATACCTGCATGGTTTCAATTTGTTATCATTTATCTGTGGATTCTTTTTAAATTCTTTTTGTCATATTCAGAGTGATATCACCAGTGATTTGAGCACCACAATTATTCGAGCCAGTATAGCTCCATCAGAAGAACGGGCTGTGGAAAAGCTGAGAGAAAAAGTTCCTGTTCAGAGTACAGTAAAAGGAATATTACCACATATTGTACAAAACAGGTCTGATGTGGAAAGGGTGACTGAAACCACTTCTCTGAGTAGCAGACCTGAAGACAGAGAAACTAATTTTGTATCAAGTCAAGATGCTTCCTTCAAAAGTGGAGAGCCCTTGGAAACCAGTGAGGAAGGTTTGATATCAAACCCCAGTGAAATGGACCAGATTGATCTGGCTGTCCTTAGCAAGCCAGGTCTGAGCCATCAGACTGAGTCGGCCGTACGACCCCTTGCTGGGTTGAGCCAGAAGTCTGTGAATGCAGGTCAGAGAATAACTTCTAAAGTTATATCAATTGCCAGTGATGAGTCCAGTGGCCAGAGTACTAATTGGAGCACTTCAGGAAACCAATACAACTCTGCTCCCTGCCTCACTGATCTTGGTTCTGCTGCGGAGATGCAGAACGTGCCTGCTGCACATCCTGTCCTCTGGACAGGACATTCTCTCAACACAGCTCCTGTGGCCCAGCAGTATTTGGGGACACTCCCTTCAGCTGGGAATGTTACCTTGCCTCAGTGCCATGTGGGCATTACCTCAGTCTGCAGGTTCTCAGGATGCTCTGCTTATCCCACTGCCTCAGGAGAGCATGTGACTATGGGGGTTTGTTTAGGACCAAATCTTGCCTCTGGATTGATGGGTCCCTCTTCCCTTTATAACCCATGTTCTAATGCCTTACATCCTCATCTGCTAAATACAGCAAAATCTTTTCCTGTGCACCCTGTTGGTGCAAACTGTGGAATTGAACCATGGGATTCAGGAGTGGTGTCAGGATTTGGTAAGATGCTTTTTCTCTCATTATTGTTGCTTGTAATTATTTAAAAGTTGAATTTTCTCAAGTGGGACTACAAAACTAGTTTAAAGTGATATTGGTTGAAATAATTTCTTAGAAGTATTTCCTTGCCTTGTATTGCGAATACAATAATACTTCTGTACAGGGGTCAAAAAAGTAGGTTCAAAATTGCTAAATGTATGCAGATAGAAAGCTCCCCAAGCCTTTGTCTTCCTGGTTTTTCTTTTCCTCTACATTAGAATTTGTTATTTTTTTAACTTTCACTGTGTCAGGTCAGACCCCAGAACAAGTGAGATACTTCCCGCTATAGGAGTGTTGAGGGGACATGGTAGTGAGGAGAACAGTACTCCCACTCTCATCGTGGGATACTTCTCTTGATGGCAGGCATATGCTCAGTGGAGCAAGTGATATATTTTTCTTGACATAATACACACGCCCACTGGAGTGCAGTATACTTGTCTGCCCTCCAAAGTAACTTCATGAAGATGGGGGAAGAGATTGGGGATAGTATTAAGAATCTGTGCAGCCATGCACAGCTAGAATATTAGAGCCTCTCTCATTTCTTTTGAAGTTAAGCAGTGGCTTATAACTTGGAAGAGAAAAAGGTCAAGATTACCAACTGGTGATAACATTAAAGAACTGATTAGCTTGTAAATAATGAGTTTCATGTTGTCCCGCCACCCCTGAGCTATACAGAACAGGAAAAATTATTGGCAGCCTCTGCTGAGGCTCGTACAATGTTAAGGACTTCTATTAAGTCTGGAGCATGTATACTTCAACTCTTACATAACAGTTTCCACTTAACCAGTAGTGCTTTTAATCAGGTGTTTGATATAGCTTGCATTTTGACTTACTCTTCCACAGGGAATGTCAGAGTGCCTGAGGAGTTGAAGTTTCCTCATGCTTGCTGTGTTGGTATTGCTTCCCAGACCCATCTTAGCATACTCAATCCAACTGACCGTTGGCTACAAGTTACCATTGGGGTTCTCAGTGTTAGTGTTAATGGAGAGAAGGTAAGCTTTGTATGTCTGTCCATTGGACTTCACAATTGCATTATGGCAGAGTGCTTGACTTGCCTTTCTCTGTTCTAGTCTGTCCCCTACCCCCTCGCTACCCCATACATGCTTTCTGCAATGGGATCTTCAGTCTCTCTTTGTTACAGTACTTGGATTGTAAGTAGTGAAATCTGATCATGTTGTACATTTTCCATCAGTTATTATTTACTAATTATTATATTTCACTATCATTTTTTATGAAATCATTGTCAGTTTGCCTTTAGCACTATTATTTAAATGACTGAATGCTCTGGTTTATTATCTCTCTACTTGTTAATTTTGCTAAATGTGATTGAATATAAGTTACTGTCATTTATTCAGAACAGCAAAAAAGGAACTAAATTACTGTTTGGATCTAGCCTTCACTTAGTAAAGAGAATCTTTTTGACTAATTTATCTGATCAGTTCCTTACATGATCTTTTGAAATACCCAGAAATAGAGTTTTAACTTTAACTTGTATGGCAAGATCTCTTGCAAATCATGTATAGCTGCTGTCATTCTAGACTGTAAATTTTTCCTCAATATAATGACCATTTGAATACCAGTGAGAAGGGAGGATGAGAATAGTCTCAGCAGTTACCTTTCTGACATGTCCTTCTTTGTGACTGCTGCTTGCCAGGAGTCCTCCTTTTCTCCTAGTCGCCTTATTTTTCTGGCAAAATAAGATTGTCTCTATTCTGTGTCCCTTTTCCTTGCTTTCCATGTTTTCACACCAGTCAGATTAGATGAAAAGCAGGTGGGTGAAAAGTTAGACTTTTAGGGACACATAGGAGTCTGGGAATAGTGTTGTATGTGGATGTGGGGAATAGGAAGAAGATTCGTACTTACAGTGAGTATGGAGAAGTGGTCAGAGCCACGAACACAGCCACAGGGGCTTGTCTGGTACCTCAGAGATTAGCCTCACTCCACACTCCACTACGTTACACGGATGCAGATACCACATCCTAGAGAGATTTCTAGGACTGTGAAGTGCTTCCATTTTCAGTACCCTTTTTTAGCAAGGTATAGGTAAATGTGTTTGTTTTAAAATAGACTAGGAGAATGCAATCTTTATGCAATGAGAACAATTTAACTTATGAAGAATTTTGACTTTACATATAATAAATTACAAGATTTAATGTTTTTAACAGGTAATAAGTGTCTATATTTCATAATTTGAGTGGCTGGGAAAAAGAATTTGATTTTCAAGGTAAAGCCATTTCTTAACAAACCATGTGGCTCTTTTTTAAAGGTGGATCTTTCAACATATCCTTGTTTAGTTTTCAAGAATAAAGTCATCGTAAGACCTCATGCCACGGAAGAGATAAAAGTACTTTTTATACCATCTAATCCTGGGATTTTCAGATGTATATTCAGTGTTGCTTCTTGGCCATTTTCGGCAGATGCTGAAACAATAGCACAAGCAGAAGCTTTGGGAAGCAGAGTCATTCTCACTGCTATTGCCGAGGCCCCTGATATTGAGGTAACTTTTTGAAAATAGTCTTTGTCTTTACTGTCTGCCTAACCTTAGAAGTAATACGTGGGAAAAATGAATTTGTGGGCACATGTGCCACAAAGTTAGTTTCAAACTGAACATTAGTTCTTAAGATGTTCTTATTCCAAAATTTGAAATAATTTTTTTACAGGAATATAAATATACTTACTAAGGTGTTTATAAAGCAGAGATAATATTAAACTCTGATAATTTACATTGTATAATTTGATACACACTTAGGAAAGTACCAGTGGTTCATATTCTTCTTTTCCCATTTCTGTACCTGAATATTACTTAGTAGCTAGAAACATTTCTCTTCTACAGTCACCCATTTCTACTTTTTTTTTTTTTTTTTGACAGTACTGGGGTTTGAACTCAGGGCCTCACACTTGCTTGGCATGCACTTTACCACTTGGGCTATACTTCTAGCCCAAGAAATAAATTATGAGTGGTAATGAGTTATTTTTTTTTTTTTTGGCAGTACTGGTGTTTGAACCTAAGTCCTCCTGCTTGTTAGACAGGCGTTCTAACTATTGAACTATACCTCCATTTTCTGGTCTAGCCAAGTTGGAATAATAAGCATTCATTGGATTATGTACCTGTTTAAGACAGTGCCATTCAGCCCTGGCTGCACATGGTTCTAATACCTAGCTACAACCAGACCAACTAAACCAGAGTGGGGTGAGGAATGGTACATGGACACTATCGGTAGTTTTTTAATTTCTCCAGATGGTTGCAAATTGTAACTTTAGTTAACCTCCATTACTTTACACGAAGTACCTTTTTTTTTTTTTTTTTTATGGGACTGGGGTTTGAACTCAGGGCTTCACACTTACAAAGCAGGGACTCTGCTGCTTGAGCCATGCCTCTAGTTCATTTTTCTCTGCTTATTTTGAGATGGGAGTCTCTCGAACTGTTTGCCTGGCTGGCCTCAAACTGATCCTGCTGCTCTCAGCCTGCCAAGTAGCTAGGATTACAGATATGAGCCACCAGAGCCAGTGGTATCTCCTCTTAATCGATAGTGAAATCAATGTAGGCTGGAGAGATGGGGGGAGTGCAAAATGGAGGAAGGGCAGAACAGTTCTTTATGGTTTCTTATAGAGATATTGAACCTAATGTGTTTATTTAACCACACTTAACAGTTATTACTGAGCTCCTAGTAAAGTTGATTCATTTAATTCAACAAGGCCATAGCTGTGACTTACAGTTTAGAGCTGGTTGTGGGGAGTGAGGGCCTCTCCAAGAGGCTGAAAAAAATCATTCAGATTTTTTTCCACTGTACACATTCCTCAGGGGAATGCTTAGTAATTTCCCTCAATTTATTTTCTAGGGCATGGAGGAGGAAGTAGTAGAGCTTGTAGATGTTCTCATAAACTTTTAGTAATATTTTTTCTTTTTGCTTTATGTGCCATTTTATGTACTTCTCCATCAACTCTGTTATGCTTGCCATTCTCTACATCCAAGTTTTCAACTTTGATATTTTTGACATTTTGAGCTTCAGAATTATTTAGGGGATGGAGGCCTGTTTCGTTGAATATAGGATGCTTTGTGCCTTCCCTGGCCTCTACCCATTGGGTACCAGCCATAGCCATTTCCCCAGTTGTGAAAACCAAAAAGGTGTCCAGACATTCTCAGATTTCACTTCCATCCCCCCGTTTAGAATACTGAAAATGAGTGTTATTAGTTTTCTACATGTCAGTACATTCCACTCTATGAGTCTTTTGAACCTGTCTTTAAGCAACTTATATTTTTGTAAGCAGACATGAAAAATCAGGACTGTGCAATGTGTCCTGGCAAGATGCCAGGTCATGAGTGCCTTGCTTCAGTGATACTTAGCCATGTAAGGCAGTGGTTTGCAAACTTGGCAAACTTCAAAAATACTGATTCCTGTGTCTGAGCTTTGAGTCTTAATTAATAACCAGACACATTTGGGAACTACTGGTGTCAGGGATCACTCAGTGTTAGCCAGGCCAATAAAAGTCACCTTCTTAGAGCACTGGAACTTAGAGGAGGAACTGGGCCCAGAGGACCAGCAAGATTCAATTAGGGAAGGTAAGACGCAGTTCAGAATGCTACACTCCATAAAGAATTAGCAAGGTACTTAACAGCAGTTGTCATATTTAGCAGTATAGACCTTTTTTTGCCAAATTGCCTATGTTCCCAGAAGAAATGTATGAGAATCGCAGACATTTGTGATTGTTAGCTTTTAGTCATAGGCTTGCTTTAAATTGGTTGCTGCTTTCTTTTTTTGTTTTTTTTGTCAGTACTGGGGTTTGAACTCAGGACCTCACGCTTGCCAAGCAGGCGCTCTACCACTTAAGGCATATCACCAGCCATTTTTTTGTCAATATTTTCAAGACAAGGTCTCTCAAACTATTTGCCCAGATGGCTTCAAAGCGATTCTCCTGATCTCTGCCTCCTGAGCAGTCAGAATTACAGGTGTGAGCCACCAGCTTGATTGCTTATTTCATGGAGGCTCAGTAACGTAGATTTTAATTTACATGCTACAATTGCTGGTTATGGAGATCATTTTTTTCTTTTTTTATAGTTGTTTTGGTTTCATCTTGGAATTGGCTGGTCATATTTCCTGCCCATTTTTCCATTGACTTGAAAGTGCTTGTTAATTTTTGTGGATATTCCTTATATTGTGGATTATAATTCTTTACTATTTGTTATACTTTGTGGTTATTTTCTCCTACTTCTTAGCTCTTCTCAACTTAATGTTGTCTTTTGATTGTGCTGAAAATTTACATATAGTATATTAAGGTAAGACTCTGTCGCAACTGTAAGACCAGGTTTATTTTTCCACCTCTGAGAAAGTTTTCTTGGAAAAGAGGGAGTGGCTTGATACTCTGTTCATTTAAATTCACTCCTAGGGGATAATACATTAACCTGTACTTTCTTGAGTGAATGTTGGTTTTGAATATTCTGAAAACTGACTTAATATAATTGGTTCTAAAAATGGAGACTTGGACATTTAACTGGATGTAGTGAATATTGCTGGTGTTGTGTAAGTATATTCCACATTAGTCTTTTTTTATTTTGCAATACTGGGGTTTTCTAATCAGGGCCTCCTTTTTGCTAGGTGGGTGCTTTACCACTTTGAGCCATACCTCAGCCCATTCTTCTTGTTTTTTTCTCTTATTCTTTAGGTAGGGTCTCAAAATTTTTGCCCTAGGCCAGCCTCAGACTGTTATCCTCCTATCTATAGTTTGCCATATAGCTGGGATCACAGGCACATAGCAGCATGCCAACCTCATTAAGTTGAGATGAGATCTCGCTAACTTTTTTTTTCCCAGGCTAGATTTGAACCATGATCTTCCTGATGTCCCCCATCTGAATAGCTGGGATTACAGATGTGCTTACCACACTTAGCTGCAATAGTCTTTTTTTCAAAAATTATGTTTATTAGAATATATTAATTGTACAAAGTGGTTTCATTGTGATATTTCCATATGTATATAGTGTACCTCTATTAGTCTTTTATCCTTTCCTCTTTTTTTTTTCAATAGGTTTCATTATTCTGTTTTTTCATACAGCATATAATGTACTTTGATCATATCCCCCCCAGGACCCTCTCCTTTTACCCTCCCCCCTCATCGATTGCACCCATGAAATATTCTCCCTTTTACATTTATGTCATTTTTTGGGTTAGATTTTTATTTTACATATGAGAGAAAACATGGTATTTGTCTTTCTCTGTCTAGTTTATTTTGCCTAACATAATTTTTCATTCCATCCATTTTCCACCAAAATAACATAATTCCATTCTTCTTTATGGCTGAATAATATTCTATCATATATACTTAATATAAATATGTAAACATATTTATAAATATATTTATTTATAAATTTTTAAAAAATATATAAAATATATATTAGATGGATGTATATACCAGATATCCTTATGTATTCATCTTTGATGGACACCTAGGTTGATTGTGTAGTTTGATTATTGTGAATAGTGCTGCTACAAACATGGGTGTGCAGGTATCTTTATTGTACGCTGACTTCCTTGGAATATAGCCCCAGGAGTGGTATAGCAAGATCATACGGTAGTTCTATTTTAATATTTTTAAGGAATCGCCATACTGATTTCCATAGAGTCTACACCAATGTACATTTTCACCAACAGCATACAAGTGTTCCTTTTTCCCTATGTTCTCTCTAGTATTTTTTGTTTGTTTTCTTGATGGAGGCCATTCTGATGGGGTGAGATGGAGTATCAGTGTTGTTTTGATTTCCATTTCCACTTTTGGCTAAGGATGTTGAACATTTATGAATTTATTAGCCTTTGTGCTTCTTTCCTTGAGAACTGTCTGTGGAATTCATTTTCCCATCTACTGATTGGATTATTTGGTATCTTGGCGTTTAATTTTTTGAGCTCTTTGTATATCCTGGATATGAATCACTTGTCAGATGAACAAATAGCAAAGATTTTCTCTCATTCTTTATCCTCTTCTTCTTGCTGTTGTTTTCTTTGATGTCATTTCATGCTGTTGTCCCCTAAACTATTAGAGTCCTATTAAGAATATACCTATTTGTTCAAGTATTTTTCCTTTGTTTTTCTGTAGTAGTTTCAGTTTCAGGTCTCATGAGCACGTCTTTGTTCAATTTAAGTTGTTTGTTGTTGTTGTTTATTTGTCAAAGACTTTCTGCTTCTATGAAGATGATCATGTGATTGTTCTTGATTCTGTTCATGTGGCATTTATGTTTATTGATTTGCATCACTGAATGAAAACAAATTTGATCATGCATGGTCTTTTTATGTTTTGTTGAATTCGGTTTACAAGTATTTCATTGAGGAGTTTTTTGTCTATGTTCATCAAAGAAATTGGTCTATAATTTTTCCTCCTCTATGCCAGCTCTGAGGGCTAAACTCAAGGCTTCGTGCTTATAATAGGCAGGCCCTTTACCACTTGAGTCATGCGTTCAGTCCTGTAATTTTCTTCTTATGTTGTGTCCTTGTCTGGTTTGGGTATCATGGTAATGCTGGCCTCTTCCCTTTCTAGTTCATGAAATTGTTTGAGGATCATTGGGTTAGTTCTTCTTTAAAGGTCTGATTAAAATTGACCAGGGAATCTGCCCAGTCCTGGGCTTTTCTTTGTTTGGAGACTGTTAGTGCTGTGATCATATTGCTTGTTGTAGATCTGGTTAAGTGGTTTTTATTCTCTTCATTCAATTTTGGTACATCTCTTCTAGATATTCCAGTTTACTAGACTATAGGTGTTGAAAGTATTCCCTAATGATCTTCTGGATTTCATTGTTCTTTGTTGTTTATCCCCCCTTTTCATCTCTAATGTTATTAATGTGGATTTGCCTTTATGTGTGACTTACCACTTCTTTCTTGCAGCTTTCAATATTCTTCTTTATATTTAGTACTTTAACTATAATATGTCTAGGAGTGTTTCTTTTCTGGTCTTCACACTTGGTGTTCTGAAAGTCTCCAGTACCTGCATGACCTCCTCTTAAGATTGGGGAAGTTTCTGCTAATATTTTGATGGATTTCGTATGCCATTAGCTTGTATCTCTTCCTCTATACCCATGGTTTGTATCTCTTCTTCTATACGCATGGTTTGTAGGTTGTTTGGTCTTTTGATGGTATCCTAGATGTACATGTTCCATTTATATTTTCTTGGCATTTTTCTTTGTCTTTGTCTGATTGATGTAATTCCTTTATTTATCTTTATTTTCAAACTTGTTTCTTTATATTAGTAAGGCTTTCTATTATTTTTTTTTAATGAGCTATTAGGCTTTTCATTTCCAGGATTTCAATTTGATTTTTTTTTTTTAGGATTTCCATATCCTCACTGAATTCCTCTTTTACGTCCTGCATTATCTTCCAGGTTTCATTCAGCTGTTTATTTGAATTCTCTTTGAGTTTATTCACTTTTATTTGTATCCATTTTGAATTCATTCACATGTCATCTTTAATTTTGTTGACCATTCTTATCATTGTTATTTTGAATTAATTGTTTGAAATTTCATTTCCTCCACTATTATCCAAGTCCTTTATTGGAGGAAGTTTTGATGTTTAGAGGAAATGTGTTACCTTTTTTTGTTTTCCTATTAGCTGTGTTTCTTCATTGGAATTTATGCATGTAAGGCAAAGTCATTGGTTGTAAGTTTTAATCATCTGTAGTCTTTCACTTGAAATAGTACCAAGCAGGACAATATATTGGCCAGGTTGAGGTGCTGCTTTCCACCACTCGCCTGGAGGGTATGGACAGTAACCAAGCACTCGCCCACATGCTCAGGCTACGAGGGATGACATTCTGACTTCTTTCACCAACAGACTGACTTTCTTTACCAAGGCTATTTCTACACTGGACAGTCACTGTCTCACAAATCCCCACACCGGGTTTATGGCTTGCAGGATGTATGGGCTTACCTTGCAGCTAGAATTGCTAGTCTGTTTCCAGGGCTGTCTATCTTACCTTGTGATGATATCTTCAGCTTTCCCTACCCATCCCAGGATGGGCTTGGAACTCCTGGCTGCTTTTCTGTTGCTTCAGTTTCTTTGTGATTTTTCTACCATCTTGCTACCTCTTTTGTTATTCTTGATGCTCGTTCTTTTTGTCTCTCTTCAGAACATAGTCTCTTCTGTGTTATCTGACTCTTCCTTATTCAGAGAGTCAAAACAGTGGATGTTTCTAATTCACATCTTGCCCTGCTTCTCAAGCAGTTGTTTTAAATTTTTTATGTCTATTCTGACATTTTAAATATTTTTGTATATGAGAAGTTTGGGCTTAATCTGAAAGTGCCAAGATAGTCACAATAATTTTGAAAGGAACTAAGCAGTTAATATTCTAATGCTAGAATTCATTGAAGAGAGGTTTATATGTTTTATAAAATTGTCAGTTACAATATGATAATCTTTTGAGACTAGCAGCAACTAAGATATTGTTTTATTCTGTAGTGTTTTGGGGTATATGTAGATTACTTCAAAAGAAGACTAACATTTAGTTTTGTAGAAATAAACAATTGTAAAATAATCTTGGAAAACATAGGTCTAAGTTTACCTAGGGCACTGATTGTTAATTTGTGTCTCAAAGAGGCAGTGATATGCACTGATATCATAAACTGTGATCTTTATTAATATGTTGCTTTTTATAAATCACTCCCTTTTTTCATACCTAGGTAGAAACAGAAAAGAAAAGCATTCTTGATTTTGGTGACTTGACATATGGAGGCTGGAAGGCTCTCCCATTAAAGGTGATAAATAGAACACATGCTCCTGTACCTCTCAGGATGATTATTAATGCTGTAAGTACTAACATAGGGTAAGAATCCCCCTACAAAATACATTGATTTGGAATTGAAAATACTCTTACTATTTTTGGTCACTGTTCCTTGTGAAAATGAATTAAGTTATTAAAGATTCTGTTAACAGATTTAACATAACACTATGGCTTTATTGAAATTGATTGTTCTGTCTTGGAACAGAATGCCTTAGCCTGGCGCTGCTTCACATTTTCCAAGGAACCCCTCCATGCTTCTCTGAAAGCTGCTTCTTATGCTGATGTGATTGCTCAGTTTGCGGCCCCATCTGTGATCAGTCATATGATGCCTGCCAGTAATGATGGGCAGGTAGGTTTAGTGGGTTGAAAAACTAGCATAGAATAGAAGAAGCCTTCAAACTGCTTTTCTTTCATTAAAATTTCAATCCTATTATCAGTATACATTAAGAAGAATTGTTTTTCATTTTATAGGATCCAGAATTTCTGATAATTTGGGTTCTTTTCCATAGTCCAAAGAAACTAATCGCTTCTTCAGGTATCATGTTTATATTTTGTGGGAATTATTTTATAGCTAAATAAACTATAATTTTAATCTTTATTTTTAAATAAAGCTTTTAAATATTTTAAGTAATTCGTCAAGAAATTTATATTGCTTTAAAAATTGGGACACATGGTATATTTTGGGTGAAACATGTATAAATATGGGTAACCCAAGCAAGTGCCACAGAACACCTGTTGGGGAATTTTTCTTTGCCTGTTTTCACCCATTTCTGTTCTTAAAAATGTTCTTGCCAGCCTTGAGGTTTGGGTTAAGTGGCAAAGCACCTGCCTAGCAAGTGTGAGGCCCTGAGTTCAAACCCCAGTACCATCTAAAAAATAAAAAAGAAGGCAACAAAAATCTTGTTGTTTAAATTTTCTTTTGACCTCCTAAGGACATCTTAAACTATAGATGGCATTTGGATGGGATTAAATAACTCTATGGTCTTTGAACTAAAAGAATGAACTTTTATAGAGATTCTAGACTCAGCAGAAGAATTCTTGGCAAGAGTTGATATAGAAGTTGACAGCCCAAACTCTACACCAGTTCTTGGAAGTGTAGGTCTCCGAGCAAGAGCAGGAATAGCTAGGATTCATGCTCCCAAGGACTTACAGGTACCCTCAGCTCTTTGTTGCTATTGTTTTGTGTTCAGGTTGATTTCACTTTAATTGTGATATTTTTTAAATGCATATTTTGCCCCACCCCCTAGACTGTGCATTTATTGACCACTGTGAATTCTTCAGCAAAGCAGCACTTGCCTTTGAAAAATGCTGGGAATATTGAAGTTTGTTTAGATATCAAGGTAAGAATTTCTGCCCAGAGTACTGTAAAGTACTCTTTCCTCTGATCATGAGAGTCCCCCACCATCTGAAGGCTGCTCTTCTGCCTGCTCTGTCAGAATCCCATGAAGATCAAAAGAAAAGAATTGCCTTGAAGTCAAACATGGTAGCATGTACCTGTAATCCCAGCACTCAGGAGGCTGAGGCAAGAAGATCTTGAATTCAAGGCCAGCCTAGGCTAGCCTGAGGTACATAGCGAGGCCCTGTGTCAAAAAGCAAGGGCTATGGATGCAGCTCAGTGAAGAGTGCTCATATAGCATGCACAAGACTCTGGGTTCAATCCCTAGCAACATAAGAGAGAGAGAGAGAGAAAGAAAGAAGGGAAGGAAAAGAAAGGGGAAGGGAGAGAGGAAAGATTGTACCTACTGTAATCTAGAACCATGTTCTAGATTACTTCCTGAAATGTTTGAAATGTCATCTGTGGCTGGGTAGAATTAGAGAAGAGTGATTAGAGAAGATTAGAGAAATGATATAGATATTATTTCTGAGACTCCTGAGTGAGTGAGAGGGTGATAGTGACCAGGGATTGGTAATAGGGTAAAGGTAGGTTTCAGGTGGAAACAAAAGAGGAAGTAATAAATATTCTTTTGAAAGGGAGTAAGACAAGTTGAAGTAGTGATGGACAAAGAAGAAGAAGCAAGTAACCTGTCCTAGTGAATAAGAAAAGGACATAAGACAAAGAATACCTGAGGAAAACCCACATTTATGAATCAGCATTCAATTATGATTATGTATTTGTTTAGGTTGCAGAACAAGGAAGTCACTTTTCTGTGGATCCAAATAATCTACACCTTAAACCTGAAGAAGAACATGAAGTTATAGTTTCATTTACACCAAAGGATCCCAAAGCCTCTGAGGAAAGGTAATATGAAAGTATTTATGAAAAGTCTTACTCATCTCTCAGAATAGCCACTAGCTTAGATATGAATGCAGAAGTGCATATTTTATCTCACCTAATACATAGTATAGCTTGGCTTACCCTCTTTCATTTGCCCTCAAATTATCTTTGTTACTGAAAATCTTCTTTTAAGCCAGCTGAATAGAAATTATAAAAGTCACTATTTTCAAGTATATTCTGAGAAAAGTAAAATAAAAAGACATCAGTTTTCATATTCCTCATTAACCTTTTCTTTCTCCCAGGAAACCTTTTTTTTTTTTTTTTTTTTTTATTCATATGTGCATACAATGTTTGGGTCATTCCTCCCTCCTTCCTAAATCCCCCCCACCCCCATCCCCACCATCCCCTCGCTACCTGGCAGAAACTATTTTACCCTTATCTCTAATTTTGTTGAAGAGAGAGTATAAGAATAATAGGAAGGACCAAGGGTTTTTGCTAGTTGAGATAAGGATAGCTATACAGGGATTTGACTCACATTGATTTCCTGTGCATGTGTGTTACCTTCTAGGTTAATTTTTCTTGAACTAACCTGTTCTCTAGTTCCAAGTCCCCTTCTCCTATTGGCCTCTGTTGTTTTAAAGTATCTGTTTTAGTTCTCTGCGTTGAGGGCAACAAATGCTATCTAGTGTTTTAGGTGTCTTACCTATCCTCATACCCTCCCTTGTGTGCTCTCGCTTTATCATGTGATCAAAGTCCAATCCCCTTGTGTTTGCCTTTGATCTAATGTCCGCATATGAGGGAGAACATACAATTTTTGGTCTTTTGGGCCAGGCTAACCTCACTCAGAATAATGTTCTCCAATTCCATCCATTTACCAGCGAATGATAACATTTCGTTCTTCTTCATGGCTGCATAAAATACCATTGTGTATAGATACCACATTTTCTTAATCCATTCGTCAGTGGTGGGGCATCTTGGCTGTTTCCATAACGTGGCTATTGTGAATAGTGCCACAATAAACATGGGTGTGTAGGTGCCTCTGGAGTAACCTGTGTCACAGTCTTTTGGGTATGTCCCCAAGAGTGGTATTGCTGGATCATATCTTAAATCAATGTTTAGCTTTTTAAGTAGCCTCCAAATTTTTTTCCAGAGTGGTTGTACTAGTTTACATTCCCACCAACAGTGTAAGAGGGTTCCTTTTTCCCCGCATCCTTGCCAGCACCTGTTGTTATGGTGTTGCTAATGATGGCTATTCTAACAGGGGTGAGGTGGAATCTTAGTGTGGTTTTAATTTGCATTTCCTTTATTGCTAGAAGATGGTGACATTTTTTCATGTGTTTTTTGGCCATTTGAATTTCTTCTTTTGAGAAAGTTCTGTTTAGTTCACTTGCCCATTTCTTTATTGGTTCATTATTTTGGGAGAATTTAGTTTTTTAAGTTCCCTATATATTCTGGTTATCAGTCCTTTGTTGATGTAGCTGGCAAATATTTTCTCCCACTCTGTGGGTTCTCTTCAGTTTAGAGACCATTTCTTTGTTGAGCAGAAGCTTTTAGTTTTATGAGTCCCATTTATCTATGCTATCTCTTAGTTGCTGTGCTGATGGGGTTCCATTGAGAAAGTTCTTGCCTAAACCTAATAATTCCAGAGTATTTCCTACTCTTTCCTGTATCACTTTAGAGTTGGGTCTATATTAAGATCTTGATCCATTTTGAGTTAATATTGGTATAGGGTGATATACATGGATCTAGTTTCAGTTTTTTGCAGACTGCTAACCATTTTCCCAGCAGTTTTTGTTGAAGAGGCTGCTTTCTCCATCGTATACTTTTAGCGCCTTTGTCAAAGACAAGTTGGTTATAGTTGTGTGGCTTCATATCTGGTCCTCTATTCTGTTCCACTGGTCTTCATGTCTGTTTTTGTGCCAGTACCATGCTGTTTTTATTGTTATTGCTTTGTAATATAGTTTGAAGTCAGGTATGTGATACCTCCTGCATTGTTCTTTTGACTGAGTATTGCCTTGGCTATTCGTGGCCTCTTTGTGTTTCCATATAAATTTCACGGTAGATTTTTCAATCTCTTTAATGAATGTCATTGGAATTTTGATGGGAATTGCATTAAACATGTAGATTACTTTGGGAGTATCGACATTTTTACTATGTTGATTCTACCAATCCATGAGCATGGGAGATCTCTCCACTTTCTATAGTCTCTCCTCAATCTCTTTCTTCAGAAGTGTATAGTTTTCCTTGTAGAGGTCTTTCACATCTTTTTTAGGTTTACACCTAGGTATTTGATTTTTTTTGAGGCTATTGTAAGTGGAATTGTTTTCATATATTCTTTCTCAGTTTGTTCATTATTAAGGTATAGAAATGCTAATGTTTTCTATGTTGATTTTATATCCTGCTACCTTGCTATAGCTATTGATGTGTCTAGAAGCTTCTGAGTAGAGTTTTTTGGGTCTTTAAGGTATAGGATCATATCGTCTGCAAATAGGTTTTGACAGTTTCTTTACCTATTTGTATTCCTTTTATTCCTTCTTCTTGCCTAATTGCTCTGGCTAGGAATTCCAGTACTATGTTAAATAGGAGTGGAGATAGTGGGCATCCTTGTCTACTTCCTGATTTTAGAGGGAACGGTTTCAGTTTTTTCTCTGTTAAGTATAATGCTGGCTGTAGGTTTGTCATATATAGCTTTTATAATGTTGAGGTACTTTCCTTCTGTTCCTAGTTTTCTTAGAGCTTTTATCATTAAATGGTGTTGGATCTTATCAAAGGCTTTTTCTGCATCTATTGAGATGTTCAAGTGGTTTTTGTCTTTGCTTCTGTTAATGTGGTTTTTTGCGTTTATTGATTTTCGTATGTTGAACCAGCCCTGCATTCCTGGGATGAGGCGTACTTGGTCGTGGTGAACAATCTTTTTGATGTGTTGTTGAATTAGGTTTGCCATTATTTTATTGAGGATTTTTGCGTCAATGTTCATTAAGGAGATTGGCCTATAGGTCTCCTTTTTGGAGGTGTCTTTGCCTGGTTTTGGGATAAGTGTAATACTGGCTTCATAAAATGTGTTAGGCAGTTTTCCTTCCCTTTCTATTTTCGTGGAACAGTTTAAGGAGATTGGGGGTGTCAGTTCTCTTTAAAGGTTTGATAGAATTCAGCAGAGAATCCATCAGGTCCTGGACTTTTCTTTTTGGGGAGACTCTTGATTGCTGCTTCAATTTCATTTTGTGTTATCGATCTATTCAGGTTATCAATATCCTCTTGGTTCAGTTTTGAATGATCATATAAATCTAGAAATCTGTCCTTTTAAGATTTTTGAATTTATTTGAATATAGGTTCTCAAAGTAGTCTCTGATGATTTCCTGGACTTCCATGGTGTTTGTTGTTATCTCCCCTTTTGCATTCCTGATTCTACTAAATGGGTTTCTGTCCTCATTTTAGACAGGTTTGCCAGGGATCTGTCAATCTTGTTTATTTTTTCAAAGAACCAACTTTTTGTTTCATTAATTCTTTGTATGTTTTTTTTGGTTTCTATTTCATTGATTTCACCTCTTATTTTTATTATTCTCTCCTTCTAATTGTTTTGGGATTTGCTTGTTCTTGTTTTTCTAGAAGTTTGAGATGTATCATTAGTTCATTGATTCTGGATCTTTTGGTCTTTTTAATATATGCACTCGTGGGTATAAACTTTCCTCTCAACACTGCCTTTGCTTTGTCACATAGGTTCCAGTAGGTTGTGTTTTCATTTTCATTGACTTCCAGGAACTTTTTAATTTCCTCTTTTATTTCATAATGACCCATTGTTCATTAAGCAATGAGCTATTCAGTTTCCAGCTGTTTGCATGTTTTGTCTTTATTTTTGTTGTTGAGTTCTAGTTTTATTGCATTGTGATCAGATAGAATGCATGGTATGATTTCTGTTTTTTGATATTTGCTGAGGCTTGCTTTGTGCCCTTAGGATATGATCTATTTTGGAGAAGGTTCCATGGGCTGCTGAGAAAGAATGTATATTGTGTAGAAGTTGGATGAAATGTTCGTAGACATCAACTAGGTCCATTTGATCTATTGCTTATTTTTGATCTAGGATTTCTTTATTGATTTGTTTTTGTTTGATGACCTATTCGTATTGATGATAAGTTGCATTAGGGTGTTGAAGCCTGCCCACAACCACCTATGTGTTGGAGTTAATACATGCTTTTGGTC